AACAAACAAGTCCGAGGATAAAATATTTTAGAAAGAGTCTAAGGTAAAATACCAAGCTTTGGCCAAATATGTCTCTTCATAAAGGAATGACATAGCCCAACCATTGCCTTTCTATGCAATCTTGCTTCACAGTTCAATCTGAGCTTTCTCCCATTGCCTTGGATCCCTCTGGTAAAGTTCCCACCAGCCCAATCAGTGGTGAAGTTGTAAAATAATTACATTGATTTTCTGTGCTGTTTTAGAATCGCCTGTAGTTTTAGCGGTGGCAACGGATGAGGTGAACAAAGTCAATCAAGTCATTCAGTCTGTGTTGACCACGCTTCCAAATATCAAATTAAAATCAGCAGCCGCCTTGTTCTGCTCGGTATTTCTCCCTTGTTAGTGGAGGATGGTTGCTTACAGTGCCGGCAATGTCCAGATAAGATTCATAGCGTCAAACTGGCACATTACATTAAGGACAAACTTTAGCAACTGGGTAAAATTTCAAACCTCAACACATCCCATGTCTCCTGAAAGCAATTGTTTCTCAATAATTGAGAGCCCATTCCCCCTGTACAAAAGCAAAGTGTAGAATAAGGAGCTGGTTTTCACCAGGCTAGGAATAACAGGGAACTTATCAGTTTTTTAAATTAAAGTTATATAAAATAAATATGACCAATTAATATCTTAATCACATTTTCAGTCTAAATTACTCTCTGAAAATTTTCACATGGTAATATGTTTATATAAAATGGTAAAATGGTTATAAAAAGTGGATTCAGTTAGCATATGCTTGAGGGTGAAGGAAGTGGTGGGATTCCAGTTCTACATGTTCTCCACTTGCACTAATCATATGGTGCCTTAAATCAACAGTTTAAAAATACAGCAGAAAAAGTCTTTATTGTCCTACCGGCCTTGAAAGAAGACATTTAACAGAGAAGCGATCAAATACAAATGGTAGTCCAATTTTAGTTTATGTACAAGTTGACAGTAGCATTCTAGCACAACTAGTTCACACAGGAACTTCTTGAAGTGCCATTTAAAATTTTGCATTGCTCCAAAAGTAAGAAAGAACATATTTTATTGTTTCACGTTGACAGATTTTTACCTAAGCAGATAATCATTCAACAACATATGCTTTAGTGTTGCTGAACATGTTGGACTACTTTTGGCAACTATAACCCATGTGCCACCATGAAATAGTTCATTTGACAGGCATGGGCATCAGGGAAAGTTAGAATCCAGTCAACAGGCCAAGTCTACTAAAGAGATGCAGAGTGTTTATGCCTGATTTATGCTGTTCCTGTTTCTGCTGAATTACAACATCCCACAAAATATCCCAGCAAATATCTCAGCATAAAATAAGCAGAAGATGGATAGACAGACGGACGGACAGGCAGACAGACATGGAGTTATGGCTCCCAGCTCTTGAATCCCTGCCCTGCATGTTTTAGATATGACTGTTCTAGAACACCTGATTCAAATGGCTGCATGACGTCCTCTGCAGCCACCAAATGCTACAGAAGCCTGTTAATCACCCATTTGTTTAAGCCAGGTGTTTGAACGCCAGGAGATACCTAAAACCAGCAGAACTGGGCTACTTAAGGACCAGGTTCAGAACCCACTGCCTTGGAGTCCACAATGGAGTGAACAAGTGAAGAATTAAACACAGTGCTTTTTGGGGGATTTTTTTTTTTCTTTTTTTCAGTTTGAGTCAACTTCTTGGCGAGCCACTTTGTTTCAAACAGCTCTACAAAGTTTTATTGTATCGTCATTTTCTGTGACTCATATTCAGAAACAGCCTCCACAGTGGCCCAGATGGACAGTGGGTTCATGTTTGATGAGCATTTCATTGATCTTTGAACTAATTCAAAGTTCTGCATTGGATCAAAATCGAATTCAAGCACCTGCAGAACAGCAAAAATATTTATCTGGAAGGTGCACGATGAAGAAAATGTTACGAATTCAGAGACAAGAAAACACAGGTCTAACAGTGAGAAAATAAATAAATAATAAGAATTAAAAAAAAACAAACACTGACTAATAGCCCTCCCACACAATGCCCAATGGCTATTTGCACAAAAATATTAGAACACTGGAAAAAATTAGTCTGTTTTTGATTCTGGATGGATGGATGAATGAATGGACGGACGGACAGACAGATGGATGAAACAGATAACCTTTATTTTATTAAAAATAAAATTTGTAATAAAATAAAGTACAGCGAAAGCAGACCTGGACCGTGCAACATTGCAATGATCCAAAGCTTACCAGAAAAGCAACCAAGGACAAGCCAAAAATTAAGACATGAAAAGTCCTCATGTTGAGTCAATCCCCAAATCCTGACCTCATTGAGTTGCTGTGGGGTTAGGGCAAAGTTGTGACCAATGGAACAGCCCACTCAAGTTGTCTCAGGCAGAGGGGACTAAAATTTGGATTTCACCTTGATATTTTTTGTTTAATGCATAAAAAAGGTGGCTTTGTAAAATCAGCTTCCTGGATGTGAGTAAAAGAAAACATTAAACATCAAGTAATGTGGAAATTTGTCAACAGATATCTAAAAGTCAGTAAGACTTTTAGAGCTCAGGCAAAAGTCTTTGTGATGCCCAAGAATATAGTCAGAATATCAATTAGACTGACTAGGCCAAAGTATATTTAACATTGCCAAGGTAAAAATCTGCTCTAGTAATCAATGGAACTGCAGCTGCATTTCACAGCATCTATCAATCCGGTCTCCTGCCTGAGTCAATGAAAGGCGAGGAGCCTTCTCTTCTTTAAAAAAAAATGTTTAAAGAAATGTGCCATTAGCCGCTGGGTGAACTCAGAGCAATCAACCTTCACTTGAATGTGTAGCCATAATCACGCTGACACTATGCGTAAAAAAATTAACATTGCTTTTAAATTCCCATTCAATTTATCATAAGAAGTTGCATTTTATGTTATTGACAAATATCATTAACGTCTGGAGATGTTCTGCAAACTTTCTAATAGATAGATAGATAGATAGATAGATAGATAGATAGATAGATAGATAGATAGATAGATAGATAGATAGATAGATAGATAGATAGATAGATAGATAGATAGATAGATAGATAGATAGATAGATGGTTGGCAATGGAGATTTCTCAGTTCTCAATAACATATTAACACATGCAGACACTGAGCCTTTCATCTACCAGCGACAAGATGTTATGATGAAACCTCTCATTTCCCAGCCCACTAGTAAATACTAGGGGGGAGGAATTCCCACTAAGAGATGTCGCTTCATCTTTGAAAAAAGAAGAAGAAGAAAAAGAATCGGCCTTTCCGGCTCATGAAAGGGAAACGGAGCAGACCTGAGAGCGGCTTTAAAAGCGCACACAGCCCAAACCCGTCATAAAAGACGCCGCTTACCTGTCGTAACTCCATCTGCTGTAAGACATGCTCCTGTTGCTGCTGACTCCCTCCATTTCAACCCGCGGGGACGTGGAGCCGTGGGAGCGGACGGTAAATAAAACCACAGCCTTCAAGCCGCGGAGGGTCGGAGTGAATCTGGAAGCGCCTGTGAGTGAATGGCAGGGAGGCTGAGCGCAGCGAGACCTTCTTCCATGGGCTATACCACCAGAGAGGGGAGCGCAGCTGAACGTGTCGGAAACCTGCAACACACAGACTGATGAAACTGAATAAACAGGTGGTTCCTAATGTCGGGGTCGGGACCCCACAGTGGGCCGTCCTATACCAAGTGGGGGGTCACTTTAAGATTAATGCAAGGTAAAAGGCTGTTTCAAATATTAACTGCACAAAATGAAATAAAAACAGTTGGTTGTTTTATTATTGACATATAATCGATATAACTATGCAGAAAAACCCCAGGCCTGAATCAAACCCAGGAGAGGCAACAGTGCTACTGCGCCACTGTGCAGCACTAATTGGAAAATACAAAGCTAAATTTGTAATTGGGATGCTACTTAACAATAGCAAATATTAGATGCAATGGATGTGAATACTTCAAAAACAGCTAATTGTAATATTAAGCCAGCCAAAAAAATGGGGAAAATATTTACATTTGTAAGAACAAGTCATACTCCTTTATTTCCAAGTGAGAAAGATTTTTTTATTTGTATTTTTTATTTACAGCATAAGGAAATTTGCCAGAGAAGTCTCTTCAGGTGATGCTGGAGGCCTCTGTATCAAATTAGCAAAAGACTAACTAGCAAATGTTTGGGGATTTCAATAACTTCAAATGAATTTTATGTACAATAAACCTGTCTTTGTAAATAGAATAAATACTTTTCTCCTTAAAACGATCATTTACTTTCTCTAAAATGATCAAAGCATAAAATCCTGAAATAGGCTATAATGATAAATTAAAATGGAGAACATTCCTTTAATAAAAACCTTTTAGCATAAACTATGCCAATAAACATCCAGTAGACCAGCTTCCTGAGGCATAATATTGCCTAATAGTTGTTTTCATCTCTGAGTGGTCTGACAGCTGTCTGCTTCTCTATAAACCCTCCAAATGGAGACAATAAATGTCCATTTGTTGGTAGTTTGTTTTACTTTAAACAGGTTACCATAGATTTAGAAGAGTGTTTGGCTATGTGGATTATTACTTTGGAGAACCCTTAGCGATGCTTTCAATATCACCATATATTCTAGGAACAACTTGAAAAAGCAGAAATTTTGAAAAGGTTGTAGACAAGATGTGTCTTAATAAAAAATAACATAAATAAAATGTATTCATTAATTTTACTTAAAACAGTGTAACTAATATATTTATTAGGCACAGAGAAATATATTTGAAGTTTTTATTTCTGTTTATTTTGATGACTGTACTTAAAGTCTTCTATTGCATTTCTTGGAAAATATGAATTTTAGATTAATATAAATACATTGGACCTAAACTAGCAAAAGACACAGTTCCCAAAATCCACTGTGGAAAATTAACTTTACAAATCTTGTATGTTTAGTCTCGGCAATCTTTCTCCATACTCGGACACTTGATTCACAAATGAAATACAAAACGCACATTCATCTCTGAAGAGGTCTTTTTTTTATCTTAAGCCAAGGAAATTTGCTTGACATTGTGTCTAGAAGCAATGTATGTTCTGGATACATTTATGTGAGAAGGCTTTTTAAGGACTGACTGCATCCACAGTCAACACCGCATAAACCTTCATCAAACTGTTCCAATAGATTTTGCTTCAAAATCTTCTCAAGGCTGTACTTCTTGGGCCTTTTCCTGCTACACTTTTTTCTTTCACTCAACTTTCCATGATTATGTGTGGATAATGGATTCTATGAAGAGGAAGCTACATCAGCAACTTCGTTTTGTGGCTTCCAATCTTTGTGTGCAATAAATTAATGTATAACACTACTGTACTAAATACATTTCTTTTTAGATGAACTGGTATTTGTGCAAAACCTCAGAAACCTCAAAAGATATAAAACAAAACAGACTGTTTTCAAGTAAAAAAAGAAAGACAAAAAAAAGCCTAAGCAAAGATAAAGTAGATGTGTTGCAAATAGAGCAATTGTAAATACATACATTTAAAATGAGATTGCTTACATACCCACGCTTAATGGTTTCTGAACAATAAGAACTCATTTATGGTTCACGGAATCACAATCGGCTCTAGAAGCAATTTTCTATCTTTTCTGGCTCAATAACAGATTTTATTTTAGCAACAGAAGCTAGACACAGAGCAAAAGACACCAATGTGAAAGAGAAATCAAACAGAATGATGCAGATGCACACTTAAGATTAGCGACAAGATGAGATGTGGGCATTTAAATCTTAGTGCCAGAAGGTTGCATGATCTAAACAATCATTTCTATGACCTCCAAATTTAACCTGACATTTCACAATCAGAACTGGTGGTGAACACCTTAAGATAAATATATTCTTATTTTGACTCAAAATGCAAAAAAAAAAAAAAAAAAAACGAACAAACCTTGGTTTCATTTAAGGTGAAACATCCAATTGTTCATATTTGGGCCAGCAATCATTTTCACTTTAAAAATAACCAAGGGAGATAGTTATTCTTCTTTACATATACACACAGCCTGAGCTGTGAACATGTATTTACTTATAAACATATAAAAATACTCATCAACTGGTCTGATAAGAAAATAATGTATAAAAGTAGTAAATATTTAATCAAGTTCATTAATCATCATCCGATTTTCTTGTTATAATATAAGATGAAGGTATAATATAAGGAGAAAGGAGACGGCGGATCGCTGTCCCGTGTCTTCAGTGATTACAGATCCTGCTGCAGACGGCCGGTCCTACGAAGTGCACCTCCAAGCTTCGGCTTGTCCTGGTTTTACAACCAGCAACCAAAAATCAAAGGAACAAACTGACTCCAGGGCACAAACATGGTTGGAGGTGCAACAGCAATGTGAGCGTAATGAGAACTGATGAGAATGATTGGAATGATCTGAGCTGAGGAGAGCTCTCAAAAGCCTTTCTTGGTTTACAACAAGCTGATTTTTTACATTGATTTACCAGTGAAAAGTTAAGTACAGAGCAAACAGTTTCAGTTTTGTCTGAAACCATCCGAGTTTGAGGCTACAGTTTGCGACTGATAGTTGAAACCAGACATACAGTGTACAAAAAGACCTACCATTTTTTCCCCTCAGTGTCTGGTGTAGTGAAAATCTTGTCATTTTTTACATTTATTATTCTGCCGCCTAAATGACAGACTAATTAAATACTGTATTACTTTCTTTAAATTCAGAAGTTTTGATATGCACATATTACCTTTTGAATGATCAGGTCCAGTTTGACGTCATAGCTTTGTAAGCTTCGAACACATCAATGCACAACATTTGGATTAAATAGAGGCAAGTTCTCCTTTTGCGACACCTTATTAATTTTAAAAGAAATTATCCACAACATGAGGATGAAATTATAGAGCTTCCCCAAAATCTGGTTCATTCATGGATACAATATTCAGATGCTTAAAGGTCTCATTATATGGTTAAAAAATCCTATGCAAGTATAAACACCAAGGGATTGTCGAACCATTATCTTGCTCAGGAAGGAGACATTTTCTGTTTCCTTTAGATAAATTAGTTTTGGTAAAGAAAATGTGTATCAAATGGAAAAGAAACAGAAAAATGATCTGACAATGATGCTGGTTGAAAGAAAATTGTGCCAAAAACGGGAAGTAGATATTATCAAAAAAAAAAACATTAGAATATGCAAGAAAAGGGTGACAAAGACCTTAGTTTTTTGAGACTGTGTAGTCTGACTAGACAAAAATGTAGATTTTACTCTATAAAGATCATCATTACATTTCTAAGAAAAGGCCAAACAAAATTTATTAGTGGAAAGGTTGTGTTCAAAGTTGAAAAGGTTGGTGCAAACAACGTGGCCTGTAAACCTGACACAGTTACTGCAGTTGTGTCAGGATGAATTTGAAAAAATGTCAAAAGTTTCTCACCTAAATCATCGAGTTTAAAAGACAATGCCATCAAACACTAAGAAAAGATAAAAAAAAACTTCTCAATTTAAAAACTGAAGATTTTTTTAAAGTTCCATAATTATGGAAACAGAAATAACTTTGGTAATCATAAATCTAAAATAGACTTAATTTCTATCATGTCAGACACTGAGACAAAATGGTCATGTATCTTTTCAAGCAGGTGTGGAAATAACTGATTTTAACAGAGTTGAAACCAGATGTTCATAATCATCTTAGAAGATTTTTCAAGTTTACTGAATGAGGCCACACCTTTTGGGAGAAAAACTGATGCGTTGTGTATGTCAAGAATATGATCAGAATCATTCAATCTATGGGACTTGGGGGGTATAATAATACAACAGATAATCCATATTTGGCAATTGAACTGAAAGCATAAAAAGGGGAAAGTTATCCACTGCAGAATGCCAGAAATATGTCTCAATATATCATTAAAGGATGTCCAGGAATTACATTTATATACATACATATTCAGTTTCTTATATGTAAAACCAAACTCAACCTCACACACTGCACTGTGGTGATTTAATAGATCATTAGAAATACACTTTGAAAACCACAACAAATGTCACATATGTACAGTAGCAGATTAGCACATGGGGAGTAAAGGTGGATATGGCACAACATACACAAAGCTTCGTAAGAGAATCTCTCTGCTCTGGTCAGACCCTGGAAACTAAAGAAATGTCATTAACATTCTTGATATAGATTTCATTCAAACTCGGTAGCAAGTACAAATGTCACTACAAGGCAAGAGGAGTCCTTCAGAGTACAAAACATTTAATTTGTCAGGCTGATTTAAGAAGGCAATGTTTAGTGTTGGTACTCTCTCATGTGGATTAGATCGCAGCTGAAGGTAGAGTGGTGTTAAAAATTTGGCATTGTCAGTTGTCCCATAGCGATGTCCTGGAAACAGCGGTTCCTGGTCCAAGTTAACTCAGAAAAGGCTGTCTGAAGTCATGCACATGGAGAAGGCAGCGGTCACTCATCCACTTAGGATGTAATGTCAGGCAGAGTGGGGGAGGGGGTGGTTGTAGATTAGCTGCATGAGTTAACAGTGATAAGGCAGACTCAGACGATCACACAATGGCAGCCGGTTTTGTCTTTGTCATTTCTCGGAGGCTCCGGCGACGGTGGACATTCTTGTTCTTGGAATTTCCTGTCAGGGATAAAAAGGTGAAAACTGGACTGAGAACTTTTGGATTGTTTCTTTTAGAAGATGAAATGGCATTGATGCTTCACACACTGAAGAACATTTGAGATCAATTTATAAATCTACCACCAATGAAGCATAAATGACAAAAAATAACATGGTGACTAAACTTAATATTATTAGTTAACTTAACTCAAGCAACTTAGTTATAAATGTGTCAATCTAAGTTGATACGTTTTGATTGTGTCATGCAAAAAAACTATTGCTTTTATGCAGAGGTTACAGAATGTGAAATTTTCTTACACCTGTAGCGTCACAAATGTTGAAGAAATCTGAACTTGAGCCTTCATCATAATCTTACATTAACCGGTATATACATTAATACCGGTCACATAATCCTGCTTGAGTTAAACCTCAGTGAGTTTTGAGCTGAATGTGCTCGTTTCCCTCCTCATACCTCGAGTTAAACATTGCTCCCAGACAGCTTCATCATTACTGAAATGTCATCACATGAAAATTACTAGAATATATTTCCAAACAGCTCCTGAAACACTGCAAACACTTCTCTGTGGCTCATTATTGTATGCAAGATGGAAGATGACAAAAGAGAAGACCGATTCAGAGAAACCCAGATCCTGAACTAAGAAGAATAATCATCATCATCATCAAACTTGCTCTAATTGATTTTCAAATTGGGCTGTGTTTTTCATTACTTCAATATTCCTAACATTTTTGATTGGCCTGAAACTGTAATCAGTCATCTGACCCAAATTTAAGTTTAGCCGCCTCTCATATCAAAGCTATGTTGGGCATTATGGCCACTGTAAGTTTTTCTGCTATCAGATCTTGTCTCATGTTAGAAGACTGTCTTCCAGATGACATTGAGCCCGATTGTAAAAGAGATCAATACTTTTCACTGGGCAAGTAGCGTCAAAAAAACAAAAAACAAAATCCACAAAGAATGCGTTTGTCACGAGGAGTCTGGCTGTAACACCTCTGCTGCTGACATGTAATCAGTGGTGCTGGAAAATTAGCTAAAGATACTGCTACTAATTACAGCCAGCTTAAATCAGCCAGTTTTCTGTCGGCTGTAATCAGGAAAATAACATAATAGTAGTTATGCAATGAAATAGAGCTGCACAGTATCAGAAAATTACTTGATTGCAATACTGTTGCTGAAAACTGTAATGAATGATAATATTTATTGTAATTTATTATCATTATCATCATAATTTACACCACTTTTATCTCTCATAATGTACCCACCAATGCCTAGAAGACTCAGCATTTAAAATATGCATCAGGTGTGGCCATCTACCCAGAGGCCATCTAGTTGGATAGATATCAGGATTTGATTGATGTTGTGACCAAGATTTGGTCACTTGTTTTACACAATTATTCAGCTGAAAGAGCTGATAAAAAGCAGATCTGCTGGTTTTTATTGAATATTTCCTGGTTCTTCAAAAAACATCAAAGACTCTCCACCATCCATCAGGTGCCTGAGATAAAGTATAAATGAAAAATGATTAAGTTGGATTTTTCTTAGACTTTACAGTCGCTGATGAATTTTCGTCTTGTATGTAGGCCTTTACAAAGGGTATAAATATGCTTGGAGAGCCCTGTAAATTTGACTGAACACTAGAGGGCCGTGAACTAAACTTTCACTGACCTCTGCATCAATGGTACTGGAAGAAGAAGGGTCAACTTACCTGATTACCCTAACCAGCTCGTGAAAAGCCTGGTCTACGTTCATACGAATTTTAGCTGAAGCCTCCATATATGTGACTTTTAACTGTCTGGCCAGCTGCTGGCCCTCTTCCTGGGTTACCTGAGGTGAGAGGCAGAACAGAAGATTGAAACTTCCAAGAAAACAGCACAAAAATCCCTCAAAATAAATATTACAGATTCCTCAGACAAGTAGATAGTTCAACAAAACATCTACAAATGTAAATAAAAAGCAGATTTTAGTTAGTTTAGACAATTGTTAAACTGTTAACCTGACTAACTTCTACGCAAGTATTCTTTAGAGCCACCTTTGTATTTGAATGTTCAAAAAACAGATATTTATGTGAGGTTTTTATTACAGATGTGTGTTATATGTATACATGGGATGCAGGTTATTAGATGGCAGCAGTGATTGGTGCAATTCCAGTATTTAGAAATGGATAAAAGTCTGGCAGCTATGCTCTTTTTAACCAATAGGGGGTAGTGTGGATTCACCAGAAGAAATGATGATTGTCAGAATACCAACAGGGAAAAGATTCATCATATCATCACACTCCGTTCTTCATTGGTCCTCCCTTCCTGACACCAACGTCTCAACAGAATCTCTTAACATCCTGTTGCATCTCTGAACCAAGCTTGCAGCTGCAACACTTGTGCTTGAGAGCCTGCAAATCCGAATCCCTCAAGCCACATCTCCTCGGATGATAAAAGCACGTGCGAGTTTCAACCGTAGGCGGGTTCAGATCTCTCCAACCTGTTGGACTTACTTGTCTCTGCAGCTCCAGATCTGCCTTGTTGCCTATGAGGATCATGGGGAATTCATCTCTGTCTTTGACTCGCAGAATCTGTCTTTGGAATTTGTAGATTTCTTCAAAGCTGTAAATCAGATTACAAGGACTATTACATGTGTGTGTGAAGGCATACATTCATCTCCTAACAATGCAACAGTTAAAAAAAGAACAAAAAAGAAGAAAAGAAGAAGCATCCTGACGCACCACACGCACGCACATGTACACACTCGAACAAAACCGTCGAACATGAATGTGAAGTTATCTGTGCAGGGTTAAACATGCCAGTCGAGAGGGGAAAAGAAGTCTGCCTGACTATTACAGCAGCATAAACTATTTTTATCCAAGGCTCTGCCTCCCTCTGCCTTACCCGACTGTTGCCCCACTATAATACAGATGGCATGTGATGGCGGGCTTTCAACTTTACAGCAAATAAAAATGTCAGTCTGGGAGGGGGAAAAAAAAAAGAAGAGCAAAGAGGCAAAATGTAACCACAAAGCCGAGACGGCATTCCAGTCGTGTTGAGCACATAGTAAATCTGGTAAGACTTGACTAATATAAATGGAGGAAGGAAAGACTGTTTACAACATAAACATTGGGAGGGTTCAAGGGAATGCAGCTTATTGTGCTGCTGTGCAGCGATACAAGGGATGGGCAGCGAGAAAATAAAAGAAATAAAAATATTTAAACCCAAATCCCGAACAAGTAGAAACTCTTTATTTGTTTTACCCGATCTAGTGTCGACAGTAATTAAAGCCCTCAAACAGTGCATGAAGGATTCACCTGAAAACAGTTTGGCCATGTATGTTTTGCAGCCGACGGCAGCCCGTTTCCTCCTCTCGCCTCATTAATGCTGCCCGAGCTCGTGCGGTGGCAGCGTAAACACACACATTGGTGTCACAGCTGTCACATGTGCAACAAAGCAGCAGGTGGAATAAGTTATGCTTTCGTTTCAAACCCACCTGCTGCTGCCGAACCAGGCAAGGGGTGACAATGACGGTTTCAATATGATGTGTTTTGTATCTTCGGCGACCTGATTTCAAAGCAGCTTAAAATGAAGGCGCCTGACACAAAGTTTAGCAACAACCGCATGAGGCTTTGAAGGGAACTGTTTGTGCCAGACAGTGTTGTCAGTATATACATACATACATGTTTTGAGTACATACAGCGCCGGCCATATTTATTAGGACCCCTGGTACAACAAACATGTAAAAAGCCGAAATGTATTTTTATATTTTATGGAAGTGGAGTCAGATCCAACAGAACTATCTAGAAAACTACAAGATTTAATTTGAGTATAATTATTTACAGAGAAAGAAAATCTCAACATTAAGAAATATTTATTTTTGACAAAATCACGCATAGTACATTTATTGGTACCCCTAAAAACATCTTAGTACATGTAAATTAAGTATTTCTAAAACTTCCTGTTTTTCTGGGGTACATTTAGTAAAAATAAAATTTTACTTGATTTGATTTGGTAAAAACCAAATAAGAAATTCTGATGTGACTCTCCTTTCAAGTAAATGTGTTCAAGTCAAATTTTTAGCAGTAAAATAATTGATTCTAATGTTTTTTCCACAACTTTATGAGGGTGTGAAATAAATGTGCAAACTGACTCCCCAGTCTTTCCCTGTACCTGAATTTGTTTCCATAGATGTGGACATATGCTATTGTTTAAGCAGAAGGCAGGCTTTTAATAGAAATCTAAGGTAAGCGTGTAGGTGAATTAAACGAGAGCAGGACGAGGGCAGGAAGTGTTGAGAACAAAAAGTGAATGACAAGAACAACAGCGAGGTCCGGAAGCACAAGCAGCAAAAGCTGGTGTCTATGCCAAATTTATGGTTCTTGTAGTGGAAAGAGTGTGTAGATGTGAAAAGCTCACAAAGCTTTAGAAAAAGAAGGAAAAAAAAGACACCAACAAGAGTGTGCGTGTGCTTGCTCAGAGTGAAAACTGTCACCTACCTTCCTCTGTCGGTGACTGAGAAGACGAGCAGGAAGCCCTCCCCTGTTCTCATGTATTGTTCTCTCATGGCTCCGAACTCTTCCTGTCCAGCCGTGTCGAGGACTGCACAGCGGCAACACGTGCACACACATTAGCAGAATAACTTGCAGCAGAAACAAAGTGCTCAGACCCAGTGCCTCATTAGAAGAGGTAACACAAAACAGAAACAAGCAAATGGTCGAATGTGCATCTTTGCATTTACTCTGGCTGTATTTGTTCTGCACTTACTGTCCAGCCTGGCCGGCCTTTCATCAATCACGCACTGCTTGGTGTAAGAGTCTTCGATCGTAGGATCATAGTCGGTGACAAAGTATGACTGTGTGAGAGAGAGGACGAAACAGAGCACATGATTATTTAAATCCAGTTTATATAGCAGACAATTTTCAAATTACAACATCAGAATGTTTCATTTTTTCAGCGAGTCGTTATTATTGATTTTAATTTATTCCGGTTCATTTTTTATGGATTTGGTTTACAGAGCATAAAATAATAAGAATAATAATTTTCTCAAAGATTTTGCATAGGTCCAACAAAAACAAATATTTAATACAGAACTGTCAGCTAACTATAAAGCATCCCCATGTATTGTATATGATATTTACTCACTACCTAGTCCAGAAGCTCTTTTTGCAGAAATTACTGCATCAGTAATTTCTGGTCAATGCTTCAGCTTCTGAAGCATTGACCAGAAACTGGCTGATATCACAGATGACATCACTGCTTTGCAATAGTCAAGTTAACGATCTGAATGACAGTTAAATGTAATAAAGATATGGAGAAACTGAATCATAGGTGTCATTACCTGTGGACCTTTATTACCTAATTTAATCTGTGTAATGAAACTGTATAGCATCAAAGATTTGCTTTTTGAAAACTGGATCACTTTACTAAATACATTTTCTGAGGATATTCTGATGTAATTTCACCATGTTTCAATTGACCTTCTCCATGGTTATATACTTTTGGAACCTAAACGTCTGATTTCTGAGGAACATACAGTTGTAGTTATCAGATGAGCAGATCTTTGTTCTGAGCTCTTATTCTTCTGCTCCAAGCAGACATAATTTTGTTATTTCAACTAATGCAGCTTAAAATGACTAACCACATGGATGTCTGCATGGATGGCTTCAGAATGGGCAGACGTGGGAATAAACAGCCACTCTGTGCTTGTGTTTTGGGTTAAAACAGCACAGACAGCCTCACTGACCTCTACCTTTCCTGGATCTCTCCAGGCAGAAGGCAAACATACTGTCTGCAGCCACCTGCAGAAACAAATGTGAACTAAATATTCTGCTACACAACAACCACATGCTCTGCTTTTTCCCATCACAGGCCGGTTTTAAGCAAATAACACATTTACAAAACGGTTTGCCGAGCTTCAAGAGCCACACAGCCTGCCTGATTCTTCCAATTTGGGGCCAGTATCTGGTCTTGTAGTAACCTCAGCTGAAAGGGTGGGGCAGGGCAGCAGGGACGAGGACATGAAGAAGAAGGAGGACTCATGCATTTTTTACATTTTTCCCATGTTTTGTTGTTCTCGCTCCCCTCAGGGACTTGTTAAGTGGTGACAGCTGAAGGGAGTGCTCAGGGAATGTCAAACCAACACCCGAAGACACGGGGAGCAATCAGTGCAACGTAAAAAGAAATCCAGACACAATTCACACTTGGGTCCAAAGAGGAGTCAAATTGAACTTTCCCCAGTCACACTCCAGTTGTCTGTGTATAGAAACTGTGTGAAGTTTTACAACAGAGGCAGCAGGATGCTTATTTGGTGCTATTCAGAAGCCAAGGAGACAAGAAACAGCCTGCCCTGTGTCTGCAGGGCAACAAATCTGATGATCCTGAAAATGGGTGAGGCAGATTAAAACAGGGGGAAAAAAGCAACATGCCTAAATTTAGCAGTATATCAACTATATTTTCATAGAAAATATAGTGTCAAAGTTTGCCTCCTTGAATATCTCTGCTATTAAAATCTTTCCAGACAAAACTTTCAGATCAAACTCATTTTAACTTGAGACAAAGATAAAATGAGCTAATATAAAATACAGTTCTTAAATGCTTCATTAAATGACTATCCACACCAAGGTGGCATTGCGTGAAAATGTAATTGCTCCCCAAATCTAATAAGTGATTTTGCAATAACTAGCAGTGAGTCTGAATTGTGGCCCACTCTTCTCTGTTGGAGAGTTTTCAACCCTGAACAACCTGCTTAAAGTTGTGCCACTTAAATCAGTCAGATTTACGTCACTTTGAATAGGATATTTCAAAACCTTCAGGGCTTTTTTTTTTAATCAGAGCTGTACAAGCTAATGAGGAGTGAGTCACTGCTCATTACTAGGTCAACTTCATCAGAAAGTTCACCTGCTTTCTCCCCATTTGTTGATAATTTGCTCCAGCTGTGCTTAACTTAAGTCCAAATTTGTTTCTGATGTGATCTTGAATTTCAGATTTTGATGCATATGCTTTTTGAGATCGTCCAGTCTACTTCATGTTGTCAGAGATTCTATTTAGGTGAATTTTTGGTGTGGCAAGAGGAAAAGGCACAAGTTATGATATTAGATATCAAATGCAATTGAGATTGAAAGAGCTGGTGCAGAACAACTTCAGTTCTAAGCTGTTGGCAAGTTTACACTCTGGTAATTACGAGTTCTTCTAAAACAATCCTCCCCGGCTGAAACGTCTTGTACCTTCACAATGACTCCATTTTAAGCCCCCATTATAGCGAAAGTTGTGATAGTCTCACTGATATGCCTACTTTCTGTGGGGATTTTGTTCTCAGACAGATGTCCCTACATGCCTGCCCATTTGAATTTGTTGATGCAATAAATGACCAGATGTTCTGATGCAGACCTCGCAGCGAAGGACAGGAAGGGCATAATACTACCACTACTGTGCTCCACATATGGATATTTAAGCTCACGCTGTTCATTTATAGAAATAGATTGATTTTGAATACTTCGTTGAATAAATATTTTTAGCCATCCGTGTCTCAGTTTGTGGTCTTCAGCAAGCAGCAAATTAAGTGCTGGTTTCTTTCTTGAAGTCTAGCAGTACATAATGGTTCACTGAGCTAACATTAACCACGGAAGACTAAATATTCTGAGTGACGTAAGAAAACGAATGAGCTGCAATATTTGCGAACTCTTCTAACACTATTATTTGCACCATTAAGAAGAGTTTCCATTGACCTCGATGTTGATTGTAAATCTGAAATCAAGTCAGAGAAATAAAAGCTATTATTGCAACATTTTAAATCACAACTCTTTAGCTTTTGTAAATTAACAAAATTGAGGTTTCACAATAATTACAGGTGTATTAATATCTTAGTTAAATTATAATTTAATTACTGTTTTTTTTTTGTTCATTTGTAGTTGCTAGCAACAACTGCATATTGATTCCTTCTCCCCCACTATTTGCTACTCTGTTGTTGCATGAGATGCAGTGATTCTCTTCGTCACGTTCTCCTGTCATCTCTGCTGCCTGTAAATACGCTTGCCTGCGTCACATTCATTCATTGCTGTTCAATAATTCAGAAGTGTTACTTTGCATCCTTAAATGCACTGTACTGCACTGCTACCGTGCCTTCAGAGTCGACAAGTCAGACAAAAAGAAGAAAAAAATCCATGACATTTTTTTTCCCCACACATTTACGTATATCACTATCGATACAACTGTGCTTCCTGTAATATTAGTGTCTGACCCCTTATGGTCTTCTGTTAACTTCTTGATCATATTTTTCTCCCTGGGTGGAGCTGAACATTTCTCTGGCCTCCTCAGACCTCCCTACCCCACGCCTCAGAGTGTTTGGGTAGCTTAGCTGCAGCTTCCTGCTCTAACCAAAGCAATTGTTTCTTTTCTCCTAATAGATGACAGGGTTTCTGCACCGCTGGCTGCATCGGAGCTCGCAATATCGAGGGCCGGAGTCCAGCCTGGCTGGGTTTCAGCTGGGCAGCGATGGGCTTGGAGAGGCAAACATGACTCGAGAAGACTACCAATAACTGAGTGAGAAATGCCAGTTTGAATCAAATCCAGTAATCTGACCTATAAAGTCTCATTTGGCTACAAATCTAACCTGGTATAGAAAAAGAAGGAAGTTTTAGACACTGACATATTCAACATAAATAATTTTTAAAAAATGATATTGAATGAAGTGATGTGCAAATAATTAAATTTGTGTTCAATGAATAAGGAGGATGTTCTAGAACAGTTTTGAAGTTGTACTTATCTGCTGTTGCAGCAGTTGAAATAACTATTGCTTTGTTGGCTTTAAATAACAGCAGTTAAGCTGCTTTTTTTGTGGTGATACCATGATACTGTGACACCTCTATATAAAGCATTTTACTTGATGCTGTCAATGAAAATCTGATACAGACCAACTCCTACTTAAGTTCATCCTTCCGGTGGAGCATCTAGATCTGATAAAAACACAATTGAAAAAGTTTTTTTTTTTTGTTTCACATACTTGCAACTGAACCAGATGGCATTAGAGTTCTCTTAGTAATCTGTAAGAATGTATCACATGCACATACCAGTGAGGCAGACAGATTTATTAACACATTTTCAGGAATACACTGAACAGCGTGATGAGATTAAAAATTCACAGAACCAAATTCCTTCTTGTTGAGGAAAAAGGAACAATCAACCAACAATAAATACATAAATAAGTTTAACTGTCATTCAAACTGAGGAAGCAATCACAGCTAAACACATTTATTTGAAACACTGCCAACAGTGAAACAAACCAGGAACTGAATAATTAGGCAAGAACCAGACCAGAGCAAGGATGAACAGGTTTGTTTGTGCTTTTATAAATCCATAATTATTATCTTTGAGATTTCTCCTCTCGCTAGCAGCAGCAAAGTCAAGATAAAGTACAATCACCTTAATACAATCACAAACGGATAAGCAAGAACAAAAGCACACAAAAAAAATAATAGTTGGGGAAAAAAAATAGTTGCAGCAAACCATGTTACAGTTTAGATGTCAGTGGGAAGGTGGGTCAGGCTACACTTGGGTCCCCGTCTGCTTTGCAGGAAGGAAACTCCACCTCTGGAGCCGACTGCTGGCCCGGCTGAGCCCTCGGGTAGCACATGATGTCACAGATGACATCATGTGGGTGGGTTCTCCGACCCCACCCACCAACAGAAATCCGAACATGGTACTTTTATATCACATGTTCTCAATTTTGTCCTAAATACATAGCCTATGGATCACTTACTTTTTTGTAATCAGGACATGAGATACTTTTTTATTTTAAATATATTTCTGATTACTCTTCTTCTACTGTTTATAAGATACTGAAGGAAGAGCACACAT